AACTCTAGCCATTAGGGCTAGAGTTACAAAGATTCAAAACTCCAAAACCATTATATAAATCATAATTTGTATATAATGTATAAGTTTTGAGAATTAAACTAGATGGGTTGCAAAATGGATACGGGGTGTTGGGTCACAATCCGATCCAAGCCCAATCTCAAACACACGCACAAACTAAGCCCAACACAACTCAACCAAAAGCTTAAGACTAGGTCCAAATCCAAATCTAAGACCAAACCCAGCACATGCACAAGTACAAACCTAGGCCTAGTCCAAACTAAGACTAAGTCCAAATCTAAACCCAACTTTATTTATGCCCACTTTATGAAACAATTCTCATTCATAACTCAATGGTTTCGGCTCATTATTTTTGAATTGCAACCTTCTTACTTAAGAGAATACAAAACCATTTAGACCTATCTCAATCGGCGATTGAGTCCCACTTTAATTTCGAATTAAAGTTGCTGAAAAATCATTATTTTCCAACAGATAGAAAAGTGAATAAGATGAGTGGTGGAATTGCAAACACCCTTTGCGCATGAATTTCAACAGATAAGTTTGTTTTTGATTTCAACATGTGAATTTGAACAAATTAGAGAGAAACCTAGAGACATGTTAAATGGATAAAGAGAAATTCACAAATTTTAAATATATAGAGAGAGATACCCACAGATTTTGAATAGATAAAAAAATGAACAAATAGTCAAAATAATTTGAACAGATAGATATAAATTTGAACAGATAGAAATAATTTAAACAGATAGATATAAATTTAAACATATAGTAAAAAAAAATCAACAGATAAATTAAGGGATAAAATTAAAAACAAATGTCATTCAAAACCGACAAAATTTCTCACCAAACTATTTTACAAATAATAGACCTCTTACCAACAAAAAAAATATTCACTAAACTTAATACCTTAGAGCATCTCCAAGGGAATAACTAAAAGAGGCTTGTTGGGCATTTTAGCTAATGTGACTTCAATTTTAGGCCTCAAATGGGCTAGCTATTGCGATAGTTACTTTACCATCAGATTTTTTCGCTGGTTACAATTGAAGAGCCCTAGAGGCTCTGCAAACAAACACATTTACTATTTCCTACCAAATCACCTTCAGTTTTCTACATCTCTCTCTATCAACGCTTTCTCAAGGTATGGTACTCCCTCTCTCCTACCCCTGTGTGTGTGTGTGTGTGTATTTGTTAGCCGAATCTATTTTTTTTTCTTCTCACTTCTTAACTCTATCACTTATGTAATTGAACCTCCTATTTCTCTTTTGATTTGGAGTTCTGAACATTGTCTGATTGGGTTTGTATATATGTCTTGGATTTTTTTTCTAAGGAGAAATTATATAATTAGTGGTCTTGGTGGGCAAATCCCATGGGAGGGACTGTCTCTTGATGTTTTTTTTTTTTTAATCCATAACATCATCCAAAATAAATAAATAAATAAAAATAAAAATTCCTGCAAGAAGAAGATGGAGTGGATTCTTACATTTCACTAGTGAATGCTCTCACACACACACGCAGAGAGAGAGAGAGAGAGAGAGAGAGAGAGGTATGTTGAGAGAAGCAGCTGGCAAGTTGGCAACGTGCATGGTCAAAGTTTTTACCATTGAGAACATGGATTTTGAACAATATCTTGGATGCTTCCTCTTTCTCTATTTTCTGATCATATGTATGAGTTAAAATATTGAAAGAAAGGGTCATCCCGTGATCAATTTTTTATTTTTGTCGGCTGTTACATTCTTATCCATCTTAATACATTTTCATGGAGAAAGTATCAGAGACTTGCAGCTATTGCGATAGTTACTTTACCATCAGATTTTTTCGCTGGTTACAATTGAAGAGCCCTAGAGGCTCTGCAAACAAATACATTTACTCTTTCCTACCAAATCACCTTTAGTTTTCTACATCTCTCTCTATCAATGCTTTCTCAAGGTATGGTACTCCCTCTCTCCTACCCTTGTGTGTGTGTGTGTGTGTGTTTGTTAGCTGAATCTATTTTTTTTTCTTCTCACTTCTTAACTCTATCACTTATGTAATTGAACCTCTTATTTCTCTTTTGATTTGGAGTTCTGAACATTGTCTGATTGGGTTTGTATATATGTCTTGGATTTTTTTTCTAAGGAGAAATTATATAATTAGTGGTCTTGGTGGGCAAATCCCATGGGAGGGACTGTCTCTTGATGTTTTTTTTTTTTTAATCCATAACATCATCCAAAATAAATAAATAAATAAAAATAAAAATTCCTGCAAGAAGAAGATGGAGTGGATTCTTACATTTCACTAGCGAGTGCTCTCACACACACACGCAGAGAGAGAGAGAGAGAGATAGAGAGAGGGAGAGAAAGAGAGAGATATGTTGATTTTGGAGGTGAAATCATTGACTCCGATGATCAAAGAAAGATCATTGTTTTTGTTTGTAGAGAGGGGCAACCACCTTCAGAAACTTCCCAATCTCTCGCTGAAAAGCCTCATTCTTGAGCCCATATTTTTATATATTTATATGTATTGATTTGGGATTTTGTATATGTATATGTATGTATATGTATTAGGTTTATATACAGAGTGGGATTTTGTATGTGTATCTATCTTTCATAGTTATATTATCTTATTTGAATTTTTATTCTATTCAATATGTACATATATTTAGGTATTTGTGTATATTTTGTCATCATAGGTTTGTTTAATTGGAATTCTGCCAAACATATGGATCTCTTATATTGACTTATAGCAATTTTTTATATTCTTTCAATTCTGTTTGATGAATTAAGGAACAACTTATTTTGTATTTTTTATTTATTTGTTATTCGCCAGATTATTCTACAAGTTTTGTTTGTTTTACAAGTTTTGTTTGTTTGTATGTGCAATGGCTAGTTTTTGTATATGCAATGGCCTGTCAGTTCATATGCCCTACATAGTTCATAGAAAAATGTTTTAAATAATTTTGTTTTTAAATATTTTATAGATTATAATTTATTTATGCTAAATCAAATACAAAGTATTCATTTCGATGGAAGTATTGTGATTGCTATTGACTCTGATATGTTTTATATAATAGAGTTATATGCATGTTTGATATGTTTTATAAATTTGACTTCGCAGAATACTAGACGACTCTGATTCTAATGATGAACTGGAGGTATCTGCAATAGCTGTTATACAAGAAGAGCAACTAAATAATGAGAGGCGAAAAAGATTACGTCGTGATTCTATTCAAGATCATGCAGTTATTCAAGGCCACAAGAGAAAGGTATTTATCGTATGGAAAGGTATGTATTGTATGGCAAGGCCCTACTGCATGGAAATGTATGTATTATGGTCACATCCATGAACCAACTATTATTTTAAAGGCTGTGGCTTCCTATGATCTATGGATATGGCATGCATTTTTTGTATTACCAAGATCTCATAACGACATCTATGTGTTAGAACGTTCTTCTGTATTTTCTCTCCTTACTGAAGGGCGTGCTCCTTCAATCAATTACTCAATCAATGGAAATGACTATACAATGGGATACTGTCTTGCTGATGGTTTATATCCTCAGTGGTCAACATTCGTTAAAACAATCTCATGCCTATGAGGCAATAAGCAAATATATTTTGCTAAAGCTCAAGAGTCAGCAAGGAAGGATGTTAAACGAGCATTTGGAGTGCTCCAAGCACGTTTCGCAATTGTGCGAGGACTTGCACGTTTTTGGAAACGTGAAACCCTAAAAAATATTATGAAGGCATGCATAATATTGCATAACATGATCATTGAGGATGAACAGAATGTCAATAATATAAACTTCAATTATGATGCAATTGATGAAAGTCTTCTTCTATTTGTGTCACACGAGCGCAGATCTGAACTTTATGAATTCATTCAAAATCACCATCGCATCAGAGATAGGCAAACTCATTCTCAACTCCAAGTAGACCTAATTCAGCATTTGTGGCATCAACATGGAGATTTGTAAAAACTTTATGTATTAGATGTAGTTTATTTATTTTGAAGTTTATTCCCAACTTTGCTATTTGTGATTTCCCCCCTTCCCCAGTTTGTTCCTTGACCTCTATAAGGTTTTTGCTTGGTTAATTTGTGTCCTTTCAATTCTTAAATTGATAATTATTAAAGTAATTCCTTTATGATATATATATATATATATATAATCTTAAAAATAAAAATTATGAACATGCAAAAGCAAATTTACATCCAAATCCAAATATTTTTTAATATATTAATCTCAAAATACTAAAATTAACAAACCCCAAGGGGTTTTGCTTTGTTCTAAAAAAAATATTTGTTAAAAAATATATGTTTGTTAAATATATATATTTTTAAAACATGTTAAAAAAATATTAGCATTTAGGCTTCGTTTGGGAACAGGCTAATTTAGCAACTTTTTGGCTATTTGGCTAAAATATGAGCTAAAAAAACTAGTATGTTTGGGATGACTTTTTGGCTTTTTACGAAAAGATGTGCAAAAAGCAGAGAGAAAAAAGAATCTTTGACTTTTTGGTATGGATTGTTGGTTTTTTGGCTAATTTAGTAACTTTTTGACTAAAATGTAAGGTTCCCAAACGAGGCCTTAGTATTTTTTATTTTAAAAATTAATTAAATTAGTTTGAATGATTAACTAAAATAAAGAGTGTGATTAGATAACACAATAATTAAAACAATTAGATAAAATAAAGAGCGTCCCATTTTTATACTTTAGTTAGCAAAAAAATAAAAAGTATGATTGGAATTGTTCTTCTACCTTCTTGAATTTATCATCTATTTTATCTATATTTTACTTTTTAAAATTTTTCAGGCACTATAGTTAAATTAATCAGGCACTATAGTTAAATTAAATATTTTAAAATTTTAATAAATTCAATTTACAGCTCATGAATTAAATAGATTTTGAATTATTGTTTCATTTTAATCTCTTACAGCTCATGAATTAAATAGATTTTGAATTATTGTTTCATTTTAATCTCTATAATATAATGTCAATAAGCTCGATTTTCATCCTGAATTACTCTTACATTCTCTATCTCTTATCTCTCTAATCACAGTCGAAAGATCCGTCAATCTACAAATGTCGGTTTGCTTCTTCTGATCTCTCGAAAGGCAAAGAATCATCTCTTGCGTAAATATATATACAACTTTCTTTCTCTGGAGAGAGAGAGAGAGAGAGAGTGTGTGTGTGTGTGTGGAAGGGCAGGCAATGAGGGGTTACTTGTGGTCATCATCAGCGTTCGATTCGAAGTCGGGACAGGTGATATTGGTGGCTCTCTTGGTAATGATTGCTTCTTTTTATACTGGCACTCTCTTTGGCAGCAATTCATCTCTTTATGTCTCACAACTTCCCTCCAATTCTTCCTCATCATCCCCTGGTATTCTCTCTCTCTCTCTACACCTCTATTTGTTTCTCTCTCTATTACCTCACACTGTGATCTATGTACTTGTTTATGTATTTGCATTTCTTGTTGTGTTTAATTTAATGAGCTAGATATCTGAATCTAGGTGATTGGATATGTGGATCAAGTAATACTTGAAAGATTTAACCTAAATGGGCTAGTTTAAATGGAAACATATAGTGCTTGATTGGTGAATTTTCTTGGGCTATACTGGTTTCCAAGTCACAGCCTATCTAATCTTTTATTGTCATTAGTCTGATATTTGTGTGAAATTGATGGATATTTTTTTCTTCCAAATGGGTATTGTGTGTTGGTAGTCATGGTTTTAAATCACAGGATTGGTCGGCCTCATGTTTGCAGTCATGGTATAATGTTATCGAGTGTATCTTGCTATGTATGTACTGACTCCCAGACACGCCCTCTACGAAAACTGACTTCTGATCCTGCCTTGCTAACCCTGAATCATCAGCAAATACACCCAACCCGGACTCACTTCTGGACCCCAACTTATCCTCCCCCTCCTCTTAAACACACCAGTCTCAACACACTTATCCTCCTGCCCTAATTCACCAACCAAAATTTTCTCCTAGGAGGTGAAGGATCATTATTAGAAGAAAGAGAAGAAGCATTGAGCTTAGAAAACATTCACAATTGGTGTGTGTGTGTTGGTGGTGACTTCAATGTGGTTAGGCTTATTTTGGAAAAGCTTAATGGGATGGCTACAAATAGAAGTATAAGGGATTTTGACTCTCATTAGAGAGTATGGATTGATTGATCTCCCCTTGAGTAATGATCAGTTTACGTGGTCTAATATTTAGAAAAATCTTGGTTCTGTTTGGTTGTGAATTCAAATCAATTTTCAACACGTGAGCTCGCGCATGACGTTTGGATATGATGTTTAAAAGTTGATTCCGCGTGTTAATTCAAATTACAATTTGAAAATCCGTTTGGCATCTTGTAGTTCAGTTCTCCGCTTTCAACGTGTCTGTCTTCTTCCTCTTTTTCTCTTAATCTGATAAATAAATTCTTTGTCTATTATGTGCAAATGATTTCAGACGAGTCGAAATCAGTTCTCAAATCTTTGGTGAGAAGTGTAGTCGACTATTTTTTTTTTGTTTCAGATGTTTTCCGATTTTCCCGAACTGTTTCAACCTTTTCCCCACTAATCTGGTAAATCAATCTTCATCTGTTATGTATAAATGATTTCAGAGAAGTTGAAATCAGTTCCCAAATGATTTCTGAGAATTTGTAGACGAGTTTTTGTCATTTCAGATTTGTTGGTATTTTAAACTCCGAACTGTTCGAACCTTTGCACGAAGAAAACCTGAGGCGCAGTACCTGGGACACCCGACCGGTCATCCCCCGGGTCATCCCACCGGTCATCCCCCAGGTCATCCCACCGGTCATTCCTTCCTGCCAACTTCTCTATTTTGAACTGTTTGATATTATGCACGAAGAGAACTATTTGAACCTTTATTTTAAAATGGAAAAATTATTATGGAAAAACAATTATTCAAAAAAAAATACTAAAAAAAAATTAATTGACAAAAAAAATCAATTTTTAATTTCAGTATTTTAAAAATAGTTTGGTTATTATTGTTGATAAAAAAATATGGATATCGATATATGAGTTGTGTGTTTGATGATAAATTATTGGTTGAATTAAGTTTTGAAAACTATTTTCAAAACACATCACCAAACAAATTTTCACATTTCACATGTCACATCAAACTTTTAAAACTTAATTCAAAATACATCTTCAAAACACAATTCAACACTCTATTTAAAAATCATAACCAAACAAATTTTCTACACTCAAATCATAATTCTACAACCTACAAACTCAAAATACAACTCATACTCTCAAATCACATTTACAAAATACAACCAAACGCAGGCCTTGTGTGTTGTAGGTTGTATAGGTTTCTCCACACATTGGGATGGGAAGAGTTGTTTCCCAATATTAGGCAAGAGGGATTGCCGAGGGTTGTTTCGGATCATTGTCTGGTGATTTTTGAGAGCTACACCTTTAAGTGGGGTCCATCTCCTTTTAGGTTCGAGAACGCATGGCTAGAGGATCGTGCTTTTAACTGGTGAGAGAATGGCAGAGTTAATGGGTGAGAGGGCTTTAAGTTTATGAGAAAGTTGAGAGGGGTTAAGGAGAACTTGAAATTGTGGAAGTGGGAAGTTTTTTGGTGATTTGAATGAGTTAAAAGCGGAGTTAATTAGGGGTATTGAGGAACTGGATGTTAAGGAGATTAGGGAGGGGTTGCCTAGGGTTTTGAGGGATGAGAGGAACATGCTTAGATTGAAATTGGAAAAGCTAGTTTTTAGGGAACAGATTTTTTGGAGGCAAAGGAGGGAGATACCAATTCCAGGTTTTTTCATAGAGTTACATAAGGGAAGAGGAAAAAGAACTATGTTAAGAATTTAGAGGTTGGGCAGGGGTTGGTGGTGACTAAGGAGGATCAAATTGTTAGTGAGATTTTTTGTTTGTTTGTTTGTTTGGTTTAGGATCAATTGTTAGGATCAATTTTTATTTGAACCTCTATTCTGATGGGGAAGTGGACTATCCAGAGCTTGAAAGCATTAGTTAGTATCCTGTGGATATCTCTAAAGTCAGATGGCTCGAGAGACCTTTCGATGAGTGTGAGGTGCAACAGGCTGTGTTCGAGTGTGAGAGAGATAAGGCTCTAGGCCCGCCCGGATGGCTTTTCAATGGTAGTGTCTCACGGCTATTGAGACATTGTGAAAGGAGATTTAGTGAGAGTGTTCGGTGAATTTTTTGAGAGTGGGGAGGTTAACTTGTGCACCAATGCATCGTCCCTATGCCTTATTCCCAAGAAAGAAAAGTTGGTTAAGATTGGAGATTTTAGGCCCATTAGCTTGGTTACTTCGCTTTACAAAATTTTGGGAAAGGTGCTTTCCAAAAGGCTTGGGGTTGATCTTGGAGAAACGATTTCTTCTTCACAAGGTACCTTTGTGAACAAAAGGCAAATTCTAGGTGTGGTTTTAGTGGCCAATGAGGTTGTTGAGGAGTATAGGGGATTGCATAAGATAGGTGTTATTTTCAAGGGGAACTTCGAGAAAGCGTATGGTCATGTGGATTTGGTTATTTTGGATTTCATTTTGAAAAGGAAAGGTTTCGGTTCTAGGTGGAGGAAGTGGATTTGGGAGTGTGTGTCGTCATGCAATATGTCGGTTATCGTTAATGGTAGGACTAGGAATTCTTTTTGGGCATCTAGGGGGCTAAGGTAGGGTGACCCTTTGTCACCGTTTCTGTTCATTTTAGTACTAGACGTGTTGGGTAGCTTAATTGATTTAGCTAAGGAAAAGGGTGTAATCGAGGGGTTTGTGGTGGGGAGATATAAGATTTATGTGACCCATTTATAGTTTCCAAATGACACTATTTTTCCCATCAAAGGAGGAAAGTGAGGTTGATAGTTTGTTAATGCTTTTGAGAATCTTGGAAGTAGTTTCTGGCCTCAAGGTCAATGTTAGTAAGAGTAGTGTGGTGGGCATTAATCTGGAGCATAGTTGTGTGCAAAGGGTGGCGGCTATGTTGGGTTGTCCCATTGAGATGTTTCCTCTTAAGTATTTGGATTGCCATTTAAGGGGGAGAGAGAGGGGGGTCGAAGGTGCTTTTAAATGCTTGAAAGAGAGGAGTCTTTTTGGAATCCTGTCCTTGTTAAGATTGGAAGGATGGAAGAGAGCGTTGTTGTCTAAGAGAGTTAAGGGGGGAAATATACTTTGGTGCAGTTAGTGTTGAGTTGCATTCCTATCTACTTTTTATCTTTTGTTCAAGATTCTAGTTTGGATTCCAAAAAAAAAAAAAAAATTTGAGTAATTGATGCGATGCTTTCTTTGGGAAGGGTGTGATAAGGATAGAAGGGATCACTTAGTTAAGTGGGTGCTTGTTTCTCTCCCTAGGGAGAAAAGGGGTCTTGCTATTGGGAATATTGTTGCTAGGAACATTGCACTCCTGAGTAAATGGTTGTGGAGATTTCCTAGCAAAAAGCGAGTCGTTATGGTGTTCCATTATTAAAAGCAAGTATGAAGTTCAAGCCAATGGTAATGATTCTAATATGGTTAATAGAGGCAATTATCAGTCTCCTTGGAAGTCCATCTCTCATTTATATGCACTAGTGTCTTCATTCCTGTTTTTGAAAGTGGGTAATGGGGTTAGCATCCGGTTTTGGGAGGATGTTTGGATGGGGGTTACCTATTTTGATAGAGCTTTTCCACTACTTAATAGATTGGTCCGTTCTTGGAATGTTTCAATTGCGTCGGTGACATGTTCTAATGTGACAACAATCTCTTGGAATTTCAATTTTCTTAGGAATTTAAGCGATAGAGAGTCTCTTGAGTTGACATCCTTTTTGTCATTGATTGATGGGATTTCTTTATCTTCATCTAGTGATAGAAGGGTTTGGAGTATCATTTCTTCGGGGTTTTCTCATGTAAATTTTTATTTGACAAACTCATTGATAAACCTCCTGTCTAGTTTTTTCCTCTTCACAAGAAAATCTGGAAAGCAGTTGTTCCCATAAAGTGAAGTTTTTCATGTGATCCTTAGTTCAAGGAATCTCTTCCAAAGGAGAAGGCCTAATCACTTTCTTTGTCCTCAATGGTGAGTGATGTGCAAGAGAATTTGGAATCGGCAGATCATTTATTTCTTCATTGTCTGGTGGCTCTTTTATTATGGCAGCGTCTTTTCGGTCTATGTGACGATTAGTGGGTTGCTCCGATGGAATGCACACACATGCTTCTTGTTAGGTTTGAAGGGTTTGGAGGCACTAAGAGAGCCAAATCTTTGGTCTATATGGCTGGAGAGAAATGCAACGATCTTTGATGAAAATGAGTCAAATGCTGAATTGTTATTGGATAAGGCAAGATATTTGGCTTCGCTTTGGGCTTTTGTGTATCTACCTTTTAAAGGAGTTCCATTTTTCTTGATTTCTAGGGATTGGGCTGCT